TGAGGGGCCCCCCCCCCCAGTGCACAAATTTTTGTGCACCGGGCCTCTAGTCTATATATATAAAAGCCTAAGCAACTGGTCGACCGGTTGCTATGACACACACTGACCACTAGGGGGCAGATGCTCAATGCAGGAGCTGCCCCCTGGTGGTCAGTATGCTCCAACAGCAGGAGCACCACTCAGCTAACCGATGGGTGCCAGATGCCGGACTCACAAGCGCAGCTGTGGTTGCATGAGCCTCTCCCACCTCCGTGGCAGCACTACCAACTGGCAGTCTGACATCCCCCAAGGGGTCCTGGATTTCGAGAGGGCACAGGCCAGGCTGAGGGACCCCACCGGCATCTTAGAGAGCTTTACAACACTACTAGATGATAGCATAATCCTGCAAAATGCCTCCTAGCTTCACTATTCTGTGAATTAATTTTAAAGCAGCATTATTAGAATTAAGGTTTTATTTATCCCTTGCCTCCTTTTTGCATATACTATATGTACTAATGCCATTATTAATATTCATTTCTCCTTACATCTCCTTCCTTGTTACAAATGTCAAAATTATTCACTCAAAATAATTCTTTAGTTTGGGTTATTGATATGGGACAATAAAAGCATACTATTTTTTTTTCTCAGTCTGTCAAAGTAAGCAAGGCATCAAAGTCTGGAAGAATTAGAGCTAAGCCAGCTCACTAGTGATAAGGATTTGACTGTTTATTCCATCAAAGGATGGATAAGAAAAAACATGGGATAGTGGGACGATGGTAGGAAGATAATTTGAACAAACATTCAGAGAGGTGTTTAACTTTTGGTATATTATTTACCACTTATACTGGCCATCATTGTACTATATATACTAAGAGGAACTGAAAATAACTGAAAATAAAAATAAATTCTAAAACATCATCTGTCACAGAGTAATGACATTCTAAAAAATGTTCTTGTTTCAGGTAATTCTTTTGACAGGTATTTAATTTTTTTCTTTCAGATATTTCCTCAGATCCAGATGAACTAATAAATATTGCTACAAAGTTTCCAGAAATTACTTATTCTTTGGATCAGAAGCTTCGTTCCATTATAAACTACCCTAAAGTTTCTGCTTCTGTCCACCAATACAATAAAGAGCAGTTTATCAAGTGGAAACAAAGTATAGGGCAAAACTATTCAAATGTTATAGCAAATCTTAGGTGGCATCAAGACTGGCTGAAAGAACCGAGAAAGTATGAAAGTGCAATTGATCAGTGGCTTAAAACCCACACTCCTCCAAAAAATATCTCAACAAAAATAAGAAAATAATGTTCTGGAGCTATATAGAAATATGTTAAAAGATAATGATTAATTATGTGTTTTACATGTTAGTTTTAAATGTAAACTTTCATTACAGGTATTTTAAAGAATGTATATTATTTTAAATAAAAAATCATAGAATTACAGTATATATTTTCAAAAATTATTACTATTAACATCTCATTCTTAGCAACTTCTTACAACATAATGGAAGTATTTAAAGGATATGGACAGAGCATCGGCCTGCGGACTGAAGGGTCACAGGTTCTATTCCAGTCAAGGGCATGTACCTTGGTTGCAGGCATATCCCCAGTAGGAGGTTTGCAGAAGGAAACTGATCGATGTTTCTAACTCTATCCTTCTCCCTCTCCCTTCCTCTGTAAAAAATCAATAAAATATATTTTTTTTAAAAATCTCTTTTAAGTATAAAATCAAATAGAATATAAAGTTACATTGATCTGAATAATATAAAGTGTAGAATAACTTTATTATTGATTATTACTTATGAACCATAAAATAGTAATTTGTGAGTATTTGGTGGTATCTGATGAATTATTTGTATTTTATGGGACATGGAGTATTTATGTTTATGTGGTGCAAGTATTTGAAATAATTGATGGGATATAGACCCTGGATATGACTAACTTTATTATTGCTTTTTAAAAAATAGGTGTTATATATAAAAGGTACAAAGGAGTTAACAGTGAACATGAAGTTTCCCTTCTTTCCCCGTCCCCCAGCCACCCAGTCCCCCTTCCTAGAGACCACTACTATAACCACCTTACTATGTATTCTTTTAGAGACAGACCATGCATCTCCAAACTTCATAATCTTACACACACACACACACACACACACACACACACACACACACACACAAATGGTAGCATACTATACAAAAATATTCTGCATCTTGCTCTTTTTCTTTCCCCACTTAACAATAGGTACCTAGAGGTGAAATTTCTGGTACAAGACCTATGTCTAGCAAAACTACACAAAATGCTACCGAATTACCCCTAAGAAATTATACCAACTTAAATTCTCATCCAGCAATGAAATGCCCTCACATCCTTTGCCAACCTGATAAATTAAAAATATATTATTACTTTTATTTTTATGAGTAAGGTATATTTTCATATGCTTACTAGCCATTGGAATTTCCTTTACTATGACCTATACTATTTTTCTATTCTTTGCCCATTTTTCTTTTGATGGTTGGCCTTCTTTATTACAGCTATGCTTTAGATATTAGATCTTTGTAAGAAAAGCAGAAAGGTTTATTTTTCCTTTTTGTAATTTATCTTTTGACTTTGTTGTGGTGTTTTTGACATGTAGAAATTGGTATTTTCATGCAATCAAATTTATGAATATTTGCTTTTGTAGCTTTGGGATTTTGTGTCACATATATTTAGAATGGTCTTCCCCACTTATCTTCTTTTAGAGTTTTATTTTTCATCCTTCTTGACCCATCTGGAATGGTTATCAATTAGTTTGTTTTATAAGATGGCTATCCAATTGACCTTTCACTGAGTAAACTAACATTAATCCCATTGGTTAGAAAATGCCACTTCATTATATAACATCTGTTATTGAATAAATTATCTTTCCCTCTATTGATTTGAAATGCCATTTGAGTTCTTTCAGAACATTTTTCATTTTTCAATGGACCGTTCTAATTTGTGTGATGGTCAATATCTGGTCAGACTAGTCCCTTTGCAACAATTTTGTTTTTCAGAATTGTCCTGGTTATTTTTTTTTTTAATAATGTTTTTATTGATTTCAGAGAGGAAGGGAGAGGGAAAGAGAGACAGAAACATCAATGATGAAAGAGAATCATTGATTGGCTGCCTCCTGCACACCCCCTACTGGGCATGTGAATGGGAATCAAACCTTAATCTCCTAGTTCATGGGTCAATGCTGAACCACTGAGCCACACAAACCGAACTGTCCTGGCTACTCTTTCTAACTTATATTTCCCATACAAATTTAGAATAAGTTTGTCTAGTTTGAAAAATGAAAAATCTTGTTAGTCTTTTCATGAAATCATATTAAATTCATAGCCAACTTTAGGGAGAATTGAATTCTTTATGATATTCAGTTATTCTAAAGAATAGAGTATGCTTTTCCCTTTCTTCACATCTTCTATGATAACATTCAGTAGTATTCTAAGTTTTCCTAAAATAGATCAGTATCTTCGTAGAGATATTTGGAAAGTAGGGACCTTTAAAAAAATACCACCTAGGTCCCACTCCACACCAATTGAATTAGAATTCTAAGGGTGGCACCTGGGCACTGTTTTGTTCTTATGTTTTGTTTATTAAGCTCTCCAGCTGATGATCCTAACACATAGCCAGAGGTGAGCTTACTTCTAGTTATTTTACCATTTGTTGGTGGTGGTGCTATTTTTAAGTGGATCTTTCTTCCATTATATCTTCTAACTGGTTGTTGCTTATTTGTGCAAACTCTATTTCTCTATATTTTGTACCAACCCATCCTATTGTTTGCAGTTTTTCAGTTGGTATCTTATGTTTTCCTGATACAAAAGCTACTCTGTAGACAATGACTTAATGGTTCTTCAGTGAGTTTGTCTGAGGTTACCTTTGTAGTTATGTATGAATTGCTGAGAAATAAATTTTCACTTCAGGTATATTCTGATGTAAAACCCTTAAGAAAAACATCTCAGTCTTAGATTATTAAGGTTAAAAGTAAAATATGCAAATCTACTTTCCATCTCCTGATTAAAACTAAAGAACATAAAATAGCTGAGGTGTGGATGTATGTGCTAATTTTAGGAAAAAATAAAACAATAATCATAGAAATGTGGTTCTGAAAAAACAGGCATGTAAAGATAAATATAATCCACTTGTTCTACCCAAACCCTTAAATATGCACCCCTTGTTAGAATTTACCAAGCATTCGTAATATTTTAAGTATGTTAGGTATAGGATCATAATTAGGTATATTTAATTTTAAGGACAATATCTAATTTAAAATGGCATCTAACAACCAGAAAAACTTGGAAGACCAAGACAAATTACCTAATGCCAGAAACAGTGAAATCAACACAAACTATAAACTGGATTGAGGACAATATTTGGGCTTCATTTTTAACTACCTCTACTGCTACCATCCTGTTACAATCTACCACACTCAGATGTTTAGAATTTTGCAATAGCCTATAAGAGGTCTCCCTGAGTCTGCCCATGGCTGATTCTATTAAAATATATCCAATCGCATCACTGGATACTCAAAACGCTCCACTGGTTTCCCACCTTATTCTGTAAAAGGTCCCAATGATCTGCCAAATGTTATCTCCGGCACACTGACCTCCCTGTTGTTTTCTGGCACACCAGGCATGGACCATCTCAAGACCTTTGTGCTTGTCTATGCTCTTGGAATGCAGTTCTGGCCTCAGATTTCCACATGGGTCACTTTGTTACCACCTTCAGGTCACTGCTCAAATTCTAGCTTCTCATAGGGCTTCCCTGCTTTATTTTTCTCCATAGAAAACATCACCACCCAATTTGGTGTATATTTCGCACATTTAATTTGTTTATAGTATCTCCCACACCTCCTTCCCCACTAGGATGAAAGCTCCATACAGGAATGGCCTTTTGTCCTGCTTGTTTCCTCAAGTAGCCCAAGTGCCTGACACATAGTAGAAGCTTAGTACTTGTTGAATTAATATGAGTTAGAGTTAGAGTTTTTCAAATATCACATCGGAGGAGAAAACTAACACATTAGGTCATGGCAGGGCAGGGGGTGAAAGGGAGTAGCCTTCACAATAAAGCAGAACCTTCTAGAAACAGTAAATTCTAGCAAACTTCTGCACAGGACAGTTGACAAAGAAACTCTATCCCTCTTTGTTTTATCTTTTTCTATGAAAAAAAGCCAGATACTATTTTAAGCTTTGTGAGCCATATGGTCTCTGACAACTACTCAGTTCTGCCCTAGAAGCATGAAAGCAGCAACAGACAATAGTAAACAAATGAGCTTGGCTGTGTACCCAGAAAACTGTTTACAAAAACACAGGATTCGATCTGTGGGCCATAATTTGTTAACCGCCAATCTATAACAATGGTTCACAACTTGGCTGCAAATTAGAATCACCTGAGTATGTTTAAAGACTATCAATGCCTGGCTCTCACTTCCAAGCATGGAGAGTTTTATTTCTTTAAAAATGAAGAAATAACAAACACTATTTTTTCATATAAGAGAATGACAAAAATTAACAACGATGGGACTCATTATTGGTGGGATCACAGGGAAAAACACACATACATTGCTTGTGCACCATGTATTAAATTGCTGTAAAAATGCATGTGCTCTGCCCTAGCAATTCCCATGCTAGGCTTTATCTTAAGGGAATAACTGAATGCCAATAACTGTATAGAAGAATGTATCTGAAGGGAATTATTTCTAAAGTGAAAACTGGAAAACATTTGTCCAAATGGGGGTTATTTAAATCATTGCAATTCATTTCACATTAAACATAATTATGTCACATTTTTTACTGATTGGCATAGAAAGCTGTCCAAATATAATTTTAAATGAAAAAAAGCAGGATACAAAATATTACATATTTTTGTAAATATATATATCTAGTCATTATAGTCTCAAGGATATATAACTTGAGTATTAATGTTATCTGCATGGTATGTTAAGTGTTTTGTTGCTAATCTGTATTGTCTAATTTTTCTGCAATTAATACGTACTATTTTTATAATAAAATAAATACTTAATTTTGAAACATATATGTCATGCATCACCAATATTTAGACAAACTAGCATTATGTGCCCTGAAATGATTACACTGAGGACAAAGTATCACCTATGTAGTATTTCTGCCCAAAAAGTCTAATCCAGATTTAATTATGTGGAAACAAATACAACTTTAGAGACAGTCTACAAAACATGTGCCATGGACCCTTCAGACCCATCAGTGTCATGAAAGGGAAAAGGTGAAGAAACTTCTAAATTAAAGGCCAATGGAGAAGTTCTAAAATGAAATACAACTCATGATCCTTGATTGTGCCCAGCACAATGGATGAAAACAAATGCATATCTATTAATTCATCAACTCAAAACATATTTCCTGAAACCTCCCATGTGTCAGGCTCAGTGCTAAGCACTAGTGATATGATGATGAAAATTATAAAGTCTCTGGCCAAAGGACAATAGCTCAGGAAATTGGATTACTACAGCAAATGGCAAGATTGTCATCTGCACCCACCAAGCCCTCCTATCCCATGCACCTTGAAGTGCCAAATGATTTCTCAGCCTGGGAATGTGAACCCAGCAGACTCCCAGATCAGGAAGTGCAGGAATTCTACTTTTAGGGTGACTAGTAAGGAGGGTGCACAAAAGACAAATTGATGCTTCCAACAAGAAAACTAAAATTTGTGAAGATGGAGGGCTAAAATAAGAGGCAGCATTTATCCTAAACCATTTCCTGTAACTTGGATTTCTTTTTTGAAACTTGGCTGCCTTATTTTCTTAGTCACCTTTTCTCTAAGCTTATTGGAAGCGTAGTCCCTCCTAGCTACCTCCCACCTGCTGGAAGACAGAATCAAGAGAAGCCATGATGACACATCATCGCTGAATGAAAATATTAGGGGAAAAGTAACAAATGTACTACCATTTGCATAAAACCTGTCGATGCCCTCTTCAGACTAATGAAATGAATTTTATATCACCCAGAGAGCAGCTGTGATCCTCTGCTTCTAGTAATGAGTATTTGAAACTAGGTATCTGCAAACCACTTCAACTGCTAATTGCCAAACAGCACTGACTTTAGTCCAAGTAAATCCTCTCATTGTTGGCCAAAGATACATCTTTATTTAAGGTTCATCTAATGGGATCCTCTTTGCTCAAAATGCTGTTAGGTTTCTTGTGTTTGTTTTTCACCTGCTAGTACAGATCCACAACATCTCAAACCTTTTTTATTTTTTTCATCAAAACTGGTTTCTTGTTTCTTTTCTTTTTTCCTACTGGCAATCATGGAACCATTTTGAGGGGTACAATCTCAGTCAGGAGCTTCATCTTTTGTGTGTTGGTCTTGGGTTAACATGAGCCTTTACAACGGCCCCGGCAAAAGGACCTTCTGTCCAGATGGGCTCTACGGGTAAATGGGGAACCCGGGAGGTCCCGGAGCCCAGTGGTGTGAGGCTCCTGCGAGGGCAGCATGGGGGCCTTGGCGGAGATGGGAAGGGGAGAAGGACTGGGAGGGCAGACACGGAGAAGGTGGAGAATAGGAATCATGTGTGTTCCTCGAGTGTACAACCCACATTCGAGTGACAAGTGACGAAGGCAACCTATGAAAAACATCTCAGCACAAATATACCGGAATCCAGCTGCCTCTCTGTGCAATGTGGGTCTTCAACTAACTTTGGGAACTGACAGATCCGGCATCGCGCCGCGCGCAGCCTCGCCTCCCCCTCGGTTTCCTTCGCCCTGCCTAAGGTCTTTGGTCCCTGCTCTTCCTCCAAGGTAAGAATGGAGTATCATTCCTTCAGCCTCCCAACTCGGTCGCCGGCGCCCAACCACTCCGCACCCCTCTCTCTGGGCTGGGGTCTCAACCTGACTTCCGGACGGGAAATCCCAGCTCCGGGGCCACCGCCGCCCGGCCCGCCTAGCCGCCTGGTCTACCTGGGGGCCATCCTGGTGGTGGCTGG